TAAATAGAAGACATGAACGTGAACGCTTACTTTTATGAAATTTCATGTTTTCGAAACTTGCGTTTCTTTTGTTGTTCAGTATAAATGAACAATATGAACTTCGTGAAACATGTTGATATTCGTCATGATTTAGATACATAATAATTTGCACTCGTGAAGTTGGCAACGTCTCCCGTCACGTCTACAGTCAACTCTCACCGCTAGATGCTAACGGTAAACGCGCTGTGAATGACTGACTGAGTTTGGTTTTACGCCGCTTTTAGCAGAATGCCAGCAACATCACGGCGGGGCACACCAGAAATTGGCTTCACACATTGTACCCATGTGGGATTCAAACCCGGGTCTTCGGCGTGACGAGCCAACGCTTTAACCACTAGGCTACCCCACCGCCCCCGCTGTGAATGATGTAAAGAACGTGAGTGTGTGGTATCCACGAGCACTGTGTCCGTGCTCTACATGCTATGTAACGGTTCTGTCTACTACAGACAGACAACACGAACTTACGATACATCGTCTAAATAGTTAAACTGTGAGCTTATTCCAATCATAACAAGAGCCCCTTTGTACTGACTTGATGTGTATGCATACTAGTTGGCTTGCTTAGTTTCCCATTTCATTAAAAAGATGTACATGCACATACGAATGCAGATTTGTTTGCATCTCTAACCAGGTGTAATTGTGAATGTGACTGGATGCTGCTTACCATAGCGAAGCATACAATAACATACATGCACAATAAACTGCGTAGTAGCATTGCACCACAGCATATAAGTATTGTACGTGTGTGTAGTATGTGGTATGTCTGAAACATTGCATACATATAAATAATGTGTGTAGTGTGGTATGACTGAAGCATAGCATGCACATATAAGTATTATACATGTGTGTAGTATGTGGTATGTCTGAAGCATAGCATACACATATAAGTATTGTACGTGTGTGTAGTAGTATTATGTCTGAAGCATAGCATACACATATAAGTATTATACGTGTGTGTAGTATGGGGTATGTCTGAAGCATAGCATACACAAATAAGTATTATTACGTGTGTGTAGTATGCGGTATGTCTGAAGCATACCATACACATATAAGTATTGTACGTGTGTGTAGTATGTGGTATGTCTGAAGCATAGCTTACAAATATAAGTATTGTACGTGTGTGTAGTATGTGGTATGTCTGAAGCATACCATACACATATAAGTATTGTACGTGTGTGTAGTATGTGGTCTGTCTGAAGCATAGCATACACATATAAAGTATTGTACGTGTGTGTAGTATGTGGTCTGTCTGAAGCATAGCATCCACATATCAGTATTGTACGTGTGTGTAGTATGTGGTCTGTCTGAAACATTGCATACACATATAAGTATTATTAAACGTGTGTGTAGTATGTGGTATGACTGAAGCATAGCACAGACATATGAGTATTGTACGTGTGTGTAGTATGTGGTGTGTCTGAAGCATAGCATACACATATAAAAAGTATTGTACGTGTGTGTGTGAGTATTATGTCTGAAGCATAGCATACACATATAAATTATTATTACGTGTGTGTAGTATGTGGTATGACTGGAAGCATGCCAGCACAGACATATAAGTATTACACGTGTGCGGTATGTGTGGTATGACTGAAGCATAGCACACACATATAAGTATTGTACGTGTGTGTGGTATGTGGTGTGTCTGAAGCATAGCATACACATATAAGTGTGTACGTGTGTGTAGTATTATGTCTGAAGCATACCATACACATATAAAGTATTGTACGTGTGTAGTATGTGGTCTGTCTGGAAGCATACCATACACATATAAATTATTATTACGTGTGTGTAGTATGGGGTATGTCTGAGAGCGCATAGCATACACATATAAGTATTGTACGTGTGTGTAGTATGTGGTCTGTCTGAAACATTGCATACATATATAAGGTATTACACGTGTGTGTGTAGTATGTGGTATGACTGAAGCATATAGCACAGACATATGAGTATTGTACGTGTGTGTGTAGTATGTGGTGTGTCTGAGGCATAGCACACACATATAAATATAAGTGTACGTGTGTGTAGTATGGGGTATGTCTGAAAACATAGCATACACATATAAATTATTACGTGTGTGTAGTATGTGGTATGTCTGAAGCATACCATACACATATAAGTATTGTACGTGTGTGGGGGGGGTATGTCTGAGGGCATAGCATACACATATAAATTATCACACGTGTGTTTAGTATGTGGTGTGTCTGAAGCATAGCATACACATATAAGTATTGTACGTGTGTGTGGTATGTGGTATGTCTGAAGCATAGCTTACACACACATAGGTATTGTACACGTGTGTGTGGTATGTGGTATGTCTGAAGCATAGCATACACATATAAGTATTGTACGTGTGTAGTATGTGGTCTGTCTGAAGCATAGCATCCACATATAAGTATTGTACATGTGTGTAGTATGTGGTATGTCTGAAGCATAGCATCCACATATAAGTATTGTACGTGTGTGTAGTATGTGGTGTGTCTGAAGCATGGGATACAAATATAAGTATTGTACATGTGTGTAGTATGTGGTATGTCTGAAGCATAGCATACACATATAAGTATTGTACGTGTGTGTACTACTATGTGGTGTGTCTGAAGCATAGCATACACATGTAAGTATTGTACGTGTGTGTAGTATGTGGTCTGTCTGAAGCATAGCATACACATTTAAGTATTGTACGTGTGTGTAGTATGTGGTCTGTCTGAAGCATAGCATACACATATAAGCATTGTACGTGTGTGTGAGTATGTGGTGTGTCTGAAGCATAGCATACACATATAAGCATTGTACGTGTGTGCAGTACGTGGAGTGTCTGAAGCATAGCTGTCTGAAGCATAGCACACACATTTAAGTATTGTAAGTGTGTGTGTAGTATGTGGTCTGTCTGAAGCATAGCATACACATATAAGCATTGTACGTGTGTGTAGTATGTGGTATGTCTGAAGCATAACATACACATATAAGTATTGTACGTGTGTGTAGTATGGGGTATGTCTGAAGCATAGCATACACATTTAAGTATTGTTCGTGTGTGTAGTAGTATATGGTATGACTGAAGCATAGCACAAACATATAAGCATTGTACGTGTGTGTGTAGTATGGGGTATGTCTGAAGCATAGCATACACATATAAATATTGTACGTGTGTGCAGTATGTGGTATGTCTGGAGCATAGCATACAAATATAAGTAGTGTTCGTGTGTGTAGTATATGTGCGATGTGTTTGTAACATAGCACACAGACATTACGTGCAGTGTGAGTAGCATAGCACACATGCACTGTAATGTGTGGAGTACGTATGTGACATACGCTGTAATCTTTGTAGTATATGTTTGGCATACATTCTCTTTAATGTTTGTTGTATAATGTTTAGTATACGTTCTTTGTAATGTGTGTAGTGTAGTGTAGCAAATATGCACTCCTTCCTGGCTGGGGGAGCAGCACCAACGTTGATTTGCTGGAGTTTGGCTCTCTCTGTGGTCATGTGTGATAAATATAGCCTTCAAAATTGTTTTGAAATATGAATAATACATTAACTAATTGTATTCAGTAAGATGTTAGATTTTTCTTGAGCCAACATCAAGCTATCCAGAGGTGTCAAGCCAAGACACAGAGAGTGCATTTAGTTGTGTGGATGTTTCATGAATAGAGCTCAAAGTGAGTGAGTGAGTGAGTTTAACGCCGCACTCAACAATATTCCAGCAATATGGCGGCGGTCTGTAAACAATCGAATCTGGACCAGACATTCCAGGGATCAACATCATGAGCATCGATCTGCGCAATTGGGAACAGGTGACATGTGTCAGTCAAGTCAGTCGCCTCTAGCGACAAGCATGGGTTACTGAAGATCAATATTCTAACCCGGACCTTCACGGGTAAGAGCCCAAAGTGAATTCAATTTGAAGACTTCATCCAACATAGGCCAACGAGTGGATTCGTATTTATGTTGTCACAACGTTTTGGTCTGACCTTGTGATACCCAAGGATACCATTCTCACGTTGGGCCAATGTTGGCTGAACATCGTTGGCCAACGTCAGAATGCTATCTGGGGTATCACACCGTCAGGCCAAAACGTTGTGACAACATAAATAGGAGTTCATAGAATAATGGTGTATGGACGAACTATACTTACATTCCCACAACGTAAAATACAACGTTATCACAAGGTACTTAGAACGTTCCCATAACATTGTGACGACCTTGTGACAACGTAAATCCACAGAATAACGCTGTATGGACGTACTATCATAACGTTCCCACAACGTAAAATACAACGTTATCACAAAGTACTGATAACGTTCCCATAACATTGTGACGACCTTGTGACAACGTAAATCCACAGAATAACGCTGTATGGACGACTATCATAACGTTCCCACAACGTAAAATACAACGTTATCACAAAGTACTGATAACGTTCCCATAACATTGTGACGACCTTGTGACAACGTAAATCCACAGAATAACGCTGTATGGACGTACTATCATAACGTTCCCACAACGTAAAATACAACGTTATCACAAAGTACTGATAACGTTCCCATAACATTGTGACGACTTAACAACGTAAATCATAGAATAATGGTGTATGGACGAACTATACTTACATTCCCACAACGTAAAATACAACGTTATCACAAGGTACTTAGAACGTTCCCATAACATTGTGACGAAGTGGAAATTGACTTATCACAACGTAACGTCATAACGTTGTGACAACATAAATGGGAGTCCACAGAACAACGTTGTGCGGACGTAAGATCATAACGTTGTGACAACGTGAAATTGTTAGCTTGGTAGCCAACATCCGTGTTTAAACTATTCTGCTTCCCAGGAACTAACCATACACTTGCTTAGCTAATCAGCTTGTGTATTTACGCTGACTTAATTAATCAATAGTCACTGTCACTGTCACTGTAAAATGTTTTTGTGAGCTTTGATGTTGCCATCACCAGACCAGGGATATATGACGATTTATTCAATTCTACAGGTACAAATGACTAAACAAGGTCATACAATGTTGTATCAATGCAACAATAGTTTCCAATATATACAATGTAGCATCAATGTATTTAGGATTTTGATGCAACAATAGCTTCCAACGCGTACAATGTAGCATTGATGTATCAATAGTTTCCAAGATGTACAATGTAGCAATGGCATAACAATAGTTTCCAAGATGTACAATGTAGCATTGGTATAACAATAGTTTCCAAGTACAATGTAGCATCGATGTATTAAGGAATTTGATGCAACAATAGCTTCCAACGTGTACAATGTAGCATGGATGTATCAACAGTTTCCAAGATGTACAATGTAGCATTGGTATAACAATAGCTTCAGAGATGTAAAATGTAGCATCAATGTATTAAGGAATTTGATGCAACAATAGCATCCAACGTGTACAATGTAGCATGGATGTATCAATAGTTTCCAAGATGTACAATGTAGCATTGATATAACGATAGTTTCCAAGATGTTCAATGTAGCAATGGTGTAACAATAGTTTCCAGAAAAGAGCAGATGTTTATTGTCATAAAAAATCACACAAAGTGGTATAGAGAACATACAGTCACATATAAAGAAGACACATACATTCTTTAACACATTTTGCTATTTTTTAGTATAATTGGATTATAATCACCATTCATAAGATGGACAAATTTGGCAACAGTTGGATTTGAGCAGTAATATTTAGGTAGATAGGTCTGACGTCGAGGAGAGAGTGGCGGACAGACAATTAGAAAAAGTGGAATTCATCACAGACATCTAAATTAGATTATGTACAGATTCTATTTTCCCTTGATACATTTACCCAGTGCCCAGCTTCAGTTGGAAGTCTGTCTTTAGTTGTTCTTAATTTTATAAATAATAATCTAAGATTAAAAGGTTATTGCAATAGGTCTGGTTCTAATTTTAAAATATCTTTGAACGTAAAATAACACTTTCATGTACAATGCCGCATTGATGTATGAATAGTTTCGAAATAACAAAAGTTATAAAATTGGATTTGGCCAAAATTTACAGACGTTATCAAAACTTTAGTTCAAATCAGCCATGATTAGCGTATCATATACCTCACCAATACCAATAACCATTGTTGTCTTTTGTTATGTTCAGCCACCATAAAAAAAATTATGCATACTATCTTTTCCCTGATGTGTGATGAACTGGGATTAACTGTTATATCAGTGTACAGCTATATGCATCACATTCCTAACTATGGTTACCTCAAACAAACAGTTGGTGAAAAAAAAATTCAATGAAAAAATATATAATTCAGTATCATATCAAATAACATTAAAAAAAACCAAAGGTGAACCGTTATTTACGAACAATATTTTCAACATAATATCCATATTTGTTTTTGATTAAAACTACCACAACAATTGTCACTTGCTCAGGATACGGTTGTTAATGCTCTTCTCTCTTCAGCCCTTGGTTAATACACGAACACGGACAAAGGTAACTGTATTCACGACCCACCATCGTTATTGTTTGTTTCTGTGTTGTCGTCCAAAGTATACCGGAATATTATTTTGGAGCCTGACATTTTCTCTTCACATATGCGGTCACACCATTCACTTTGGGCAACTGTAAACCAGTTCTTCCAGTCTCCCACCTCACCTGCAGTGAACGAAGAAAGTATGAGTGAAAGTGATAGGGCGAATTTGGATTTTGAATACCTACATAAAACGCCATGTCACCTTCATGTCAGCAGGCAGGTCAAGTCACATTCGTGCTCAAGTCTTGTAAAGAGAGCGGGTATTGGGTGGACGAAACAAGAACCATATGTGGAGCCAATCTAGTATTCGAACAAACGGAAACCGATTGTTCTGGAGCCCAGTGTTATATAATGGCGAAATATTCGCAAACAATATATGTTGCGACTGAGACAGAATTCTCGCCATTGGAGATGAAATTTTTAATGACTTTGCTGGCGAGGAACTAACCTTTTCTGTAGAATATGTTGTCACCCCATTCTGCATGAACTGCACCCTTTCTGGCCCTCATCTTTGAAAATGTGCACTTGTCAGCTATCTTCTGGTAGAAGACGTCTTCAAAGGATTTCCCCTAGAAAGTTCCCTATCTTTTTCACTTCACTAAAGAGATTCTGAAAAAACAAAACAAAAAAAACAACAAAACAACATAAGATGTTAGAATAAGTGGTTCGTCTTCAAGACAATAGGTATTGGCATCTCTTCAGTCGCTCAGTACTGGTATCATCTAAATGTTAAGTGCAACATTCTACAAGTTTGGTACATGCAGCGCTGAAGTGTGATATGGCAGTGGAACAAACGCAATGAGTTAATCTAAGTTCAGTTACAGTATTTATCGATTAGAAGAAAAGAACTGCAGGAAGGTAGACTTAACTATTTCAAGCATCTATTGTTCTGTTTGAGTGATCACACAAAACAGAGTTCATATAGTATTGTAGAAATATATATTGCTTTTTCATATGAGACATTTATACATGAGAAGGAAAGAACTCCAGGAATGTATTTTATATGATTAATGTATGCGTAATATTAAGGCAACTACCCCTGACGCATGAAGAAATGACATAATGTCCCTGAATAAATTTGTGAATGTGGAATAATTGTTAACGTACGTGTTTATCTGTTTGCAGTCCTCTCTGATCATCTAGCTATGAGTTCTATAAATTGGCATAAGCTTGTTTTGTGTTTCAAAATATATATTGACTATGATAAGAAATGTGTTATATTTACATTAGTATTGCTATCATTTTCCAAACTAAAGTTTAAAGTGTTTCTTTAAGAAGTGTTTCTTCCCCAGAAGCGCGGCTATGCTACATGCATGTAGGTACGTTACATAGATCAAATAAAAGTTATACAAGGCACACTGATTGATAAGAGAGATACTAGGGCTTTTGTAGTGGAATATATTATCTAAATAACAGTTGTCTCAAGGGGGGAAGGTTGTTTGGGTTTGAACTGAGACTGTGTCACGCACTTGGTTTATTCACGACATACATTGCATCATTAATCAAACTATTAGTTTAGTCCTGTGATGTTTGTGTTCTTTTGCACTCATGAAATTGTTACCCTTATGGGTTATACTGTCCAAACACGAGGGGGATATGAAATAGGTCACTGTCACCCGGGATACGGAAACGTACGTATGTTTAGAGAACGTTAAAACCTGCATTGAGAATACGACCTCCAAACGTAACACATTGTTTGTTTGATCGGCATTCTTGAAGTATGACTTTTATAGATACTTCGTGTTTCAAGAAACGTCGCTCTGTACAGAAAGCAAGACGTTGTTATCTGTTATCTGCTTCGTTTTGTATCCCATTACTGTGTATTACCGTATAAATAAGATCTTGAAAATGTTAATTTCTCAGGTTTGTGAACGACAATTCTTTTGAAAATATATCATCGTGTAAATCTTTCTGTTATGTATTGTTTTTAATGTAAAGTACACCAGGTTTCCCAAGTTGACTCGGGTTAAGTTCTGTTATTTCCACAACACATGTCTAAATAAAGAACTATCTTCCAAATATATCGCAAATTAAAAAAAACCACTTATCAAGATGTTTTGTACATCTCTTCAAGTTACTCAATATTTAGATGGAAACTACAATCTTGATCTATTCTTTATTCTTTTACATGCACTATATACCTCTGAACCACCCTTTTGTTTAAATTTGTGTTAACATAAGTGTGCAGAAAATTAATGTTATAGCTGCTGTGAATAGAAAAGGTTATTTTTAAATAAATACAATAATGTATATACCATATTTCGATGCAGAGATCATCTTCTATGTAAAATGCATTATGACATTGATGTAACAGGCATAAGTAAAATCACAAATACATCCTACCTTTACAAGACATTTACAAGCTTGTGATATCTTCACTGGTGTACCTTTGACTATCTTGAGTAATCGACATTTTGGAGCCTCTTTCCTATTTGAATAGTTGTTGTGACGTTATTTTGGTGTGTGTCCATGTTGGTTCAAAGAAATGAGACGGCAAGCTATCTTCCATAAGTCTGGCATAATAACTACTGTCTTTATCAGAATTAAAATCTTGTACTAAAGACGACCACAACTGCATTTTTGAAGTATGTGAAATCTGGATGTGATTTGAATACAATATGTTCACTTTTTAAACCTCCATTAAAGGTTGTGAGGGAAGGCAGGGAGTCAATTTGACAAGAGTTGATTACTGTAGGGTGAACGTCTGGTGGATAATTATCGATGAGGACGATCCTTCATTCATTCATTTTGCAGTCATTGCAGAGGAATAGTGCCAGAAACCTTTAACCCCCTTCAATTGATTTCCGTGAATACCCACATTTTCAGCTCAAAAGCTAGAGACGTGCAGTATTTGTGAAACGAAGTGTTCTGTCTTGCAGTTTTAACCCAAATTTTATGTAAGAGTCTGTCCAACGATCTATCTTGAATTATGTGTCCAGATGTGGGATACTTGAATAAAAGATGTTTTGTAACTTCTATTATTTTCAACTTTATGAAAATACTCTTTGATCATCTGCTTTTTTACTAAACACAATACAACCATTCAGCAGGTTTCAATCTCGTCCTAAACTCTACTAAAACTACTACTACATCCTTAAACGGAGACTTTTGTTACAGGCGGAGTATCTAGATCTGTTTGGCTACTGCTTAAAGACATTTTGCTCCAAGGAGTCAGTTGTTCAGCATCAAATTGACCAGTTGAGAGTTTTCAAACTGACAAGCCAAAACATGTGAGCATGGCTCACTAATGCACCCCCGACCGAGACTCGGTCGTACAACAATTAATAGTGACTATCCTTGATCAAAATACAAGATCTGTGTCCAACTTTGCACTGCACTATCCTATAAACAAAGAAACCATTACCCAAATCTGTAAATAATCCATCAATGATTGTTAGGTTTTTGGCTGAACAGATTTATGACGTGGGGTCAAGAGAAAAAAATTGTGATAATTCTAAATAAATTAAAAATATCAAGATATAACTTTGCACAACCTCTCTCCTATCGATGGTGATCATCAAATTTGAAAGAAACCTTTCAAATGTGATCAGGTTATTGGCTGAATTGCGTTGTTTTTGTTAAGTTCAAAATGAGATGCAACAATTTCAAATATGAGAAAATTGCAACCATTTTCTCTCCTTTAGACAATGAACTTGGTCCCCAAATTTGAATTAAATAAATGCAACAAATAATTTTCAAATCACTGGTTGAACAAAAATGTGTTCGGATGGATGGACGGACGGTGGCACGGAAGTCGAGTACTTGGTGTAATTATATTATTGGTTATAATTACCCAAATTAATTAGAGAAAACATGTCTAAACTTGGACTGACCAACGGCAACCGGATTCACTTACCTCTTTCATGTTCTCATAGCAGAGAAGTAGTATTGGATGTTCAGGGTGTTCGTCAATCTCCTTCTCCCAGTCCCGTGTATAGTCGAACACACACCCGGAGTCAACTAAAACACAGAAGCATATAGGCGTATGGAGTTTTGCTTACACCTGTCCTCCTAGCCAATGACTCGTAACATTACTAACATGGCTGAAACTTTCACTTAATGAAAAAATCAATATACAAACAAGACAAACTCACCCTTTCCATCTAGATAGTTTGGAACATAATTTTTAAACTGCCCCTTATACTCATACTCTCCGAGCTTTTTGTGGTGATGATAGAAAGATACAGCAACGTCTTTAGGGTTGCGGACGACCATAATGATCTTGATCTTCTTCTCAAAGAGCTCTGGATTTAGTTGTCTCAACAACACGTGGTTATTTAGAACTCGTGGCGACGGGAATTAGTCCATAAACTCTGGTGTCTTCCATTCCATCATCAGGTCTTCTTTTTCTTGTACGGCCACGTCAAGAGTTCCTTCCTGTAGCATGCGAAGTATCTCCCACACCCAATGACAACCTGAAACAGAATTATCACCCCTTGGATCAAAGTCAGTGATCCTGACATTTAGACAATGAATGTTGTCGGACACATGACATAGGAGTCAATCACAGGTACTCAACTACATAAGCTGAGCTTTAGACATCTTAATCACGTGAATGTTTCAGGTATCTGGCGTCGCCCTTGATAGATATATTCCTTCAAATATATATGCTGCAGTTTAATGTTGACAGAACTATCGTAGTTCGGAAATACTTTTACATAATGTAGAGTATCCTAAATGAAACAAATGTAAAAAGGATTGTGTCAGACATAAACTGGATTGTTGCAAATTGGTGCATGAGTTGACACGTTGTGGTGAAGCGGCTGAGTTCACTGTGTTGAGTTGCGTCCCCTTGACGTTCCAGAAAACTATGATCAGTGATGGAATATTAGACCCATCGTGATTGTAATTCTTCTTTTTGATTGCACCAACACTGTGTACCCGGGTTCCATCGAACTAGCAAAGACATCTACCTTTAATCCCATCAAATTGACACAAACATAACTGCAACCCTGTTCAAAGCGTCAGTTTTCTCACTCAGTCATGACCGTAAAGAATTCTAAAATTGTCTTTAATTTTAAGCCTGAATAGTCTCAGTTTTAAGATACATTAATGCCACTTTGGACAATGTAGCGTACTGCCGTTCTGTTATCAAGCGTCTTGGTTTGTGAGCACCATTCTTGTGTTCTTTGGATATCCCGGACGTCTTCCACCTTTATGACACAATGAATACAGTCACCTTATTCACTCACTCACCTGACTTGGGGTACGAACACACCATAATGTCGTCATCCCGGAAGGGAAACTGACCGAGACGTTTGATGACATCTGCCAGCAGATCGGGGGAGAAGAGGAAACCATCCACATCCTGCAACGTCAAGGTGTCACCTGCTCCATCAGTCACTTTCTTCAAAGACATCCTGAATAGAGACAGCATAACATGTGACCGCCTGTAATCTCTACTGAACTATAACGATTGTTATGCTGATCAGTTGGTTACAATGCCGGATCCAATGTCGACTAGTAATCTGTTTTTTAATAATCGGGGCTCGTTTTTGTTGTCGTTGGCATCTCATATTTACAGCTGTCGCAGCGTTAAGGTCACTTTGCAAAAGTAGGTCCCTGTCGACAATGCGTCAGCGAATTCTAATCTTTAAATGTTATTTCTACACATGTTAGTTGTGTCAGGGAGCACAGAGCACACTTACACATTGTGGCTCTCCTCTCCTCTCGTCAACAGGTCAAAGTTTAGCAGAGGCGACGGTGTATAAAGCATACATTCATTATCAGCTGAATCAAACTGTTAGATAATCTTATATTGTAAGATAACATTAGTAAAAATAGTTTACATGTGAGCGAATCCAGTGCGCACTACTCCCACAGTAGACAAGTATTAACAGTAAACTGATAGTGACAGGTTAATCGTGGATAAGCTTAGTTTAACACTTAGATATATCTACACCCTCCACCTTCATAAGAAACAAAATCAACTACGAGGCAAGTGACAACAAAAAATAAAACACTCGGCGATTACAATCAGGCCTAACTAGACACGAACACATTCAAGGTTATCTGTGACACAAGTTCCATTTCATCACTGCATGATATAGAACAACGTACACTGGGATAAGTATAGTATGGTTTTTCTTCAGATGAACACACCTACATGCATACCCAGAAGAAGCAAGATCAGCTACGAGGCAAGTGACAAGAAAATATAATATTCTACCAACAGAATCCGGCCAAACTATCCACGAACGCATTCAAGGTTATCTATGACGCAAGTTCCATTTCATCACTGCATGATATAGAACAACGTACACTGGCTCTAAAACATGCAATCAAACACACATATACCCATACTGACTCAGTGTATATACCAAGTGTGGAAGCGTGAAGTATGTTAAATGGTACATACGTGAAGAGAAGAGTTTATGGCCGGCCGATCGTGTCGACAAATGCACACACGGTTACTCATATGACCACGTTCACACAGTGAAAAAGTCAAGCCTCAGTTGACCTGAATACAGCGGCATGTCTAGCAGGCTACGTATATATGTAATAGGGTGTCAGAAAAGGCATTTTACAAGTGCCAATTTATTTATGCCCTTACGTGTAGTCTCTGAGTAAATATAATTTTGATAGAAACAAACAAGTCCTTTTAATTTGAAAAAGAGCCCAAGCTAGAACGGACGTTCAGAACCTGAGAAAAACTAGACTTGCTTCGTTTATTGCTTCAACATTGCAGAAAGGACCTGGTGGGTGGGAAAATAATGTGGTTCAGGCACTTTGGGCAGGTTACGTGTATATTCATAGCAGGGTGTCAGACAGGCGTCGGAGAAGGTTTTGATGTAATAGAAAATTTCCAGTAGGCCTGTTTTCAGTATCTCACACAATCTCAAGTTTGCTCTGATCTCAACGTAATCCTATCATGATGAAAACTAGAAGATGAAGGACCAATACGGAAGATTCATGTACTTGGTTCTGTATAGGACGTGGGAAAGTTTTCAATGTCAACACAAACTTGCAAGGCATCGATATATTCGTTAAACAAAGACAGGGAAACTTCTTAAATCAATTCAGATGCGTTGCATTTGAATATTGTTTATCGTCTGCCACTGGGTTGTAAATCGAGTCTCGTCCTGCAGTAGCCCTAGCTCTCCCTCTATTGTCCATCTCCCGTCATCGTCGTCTCCCGGTATATTTACATTTATTGTTAAACGAATGATGTCCCGCATTATTAGATGCACACTCTGCAGAAAAGAAGAGAAACGACAAACGAGTTTTCAGATGTTTGCTTTAAGCATTATATAAATAATCAACAGACCATAATATACTGAAAGCCATTAAAAATGCAATTTGACATTCATACTTTCTTTACTTACACTAATTTCAACATATATAAACCTAACTGGCAGATATGTTTTAAGTGAACATCTGTGAATAATTTCATCTGAAAATGTCCAGTCAACAACAACATCAGTGACGCAACAACGACATCACATAAAGGAGGGGTCACTTGCAGTCAATATCGTGTGTGTCCACCGTGCGCTGCAAGACATGCTCGCAGTCTTTGGGGCATTGAAAGACACACATTCCTCAGGAACAGCTGTTGGATGGTCTGCAGCCTCTGATGGTCTGTGGTCTGATCATGACACCACCCCCTCCAAAACGATCATGTTCAAGGACACAGTTTGGCGCAAGTCTTTCTCCTTTACGTCGATAAATCTGTTGACGTCCATCTGCAAAGGATAAGTTAAACCTGGATTCATCTGAAAAATGACATCTGGCCATGTCCTGTTGCCAAGATTGGCCCCATTTGCTGCCTATCGCTGTCTGGCAAGTCTGTGGCGATGCAATAAGGTTGGACCACGGTACGGGTGACGACACCGGATGTTGAAGGCAGCAAGGCGTCCTTGCACCTTTTGGGCGCTGAAATGACGTTGACTTGTCCCAATTGTCCTCCTTGCCTAATCATCAGCTGTTTGGAACCGATTTCGCAAGTGTGAAACTCGGATATTGCGGTTTTGTCGAGCTGTTATCACAGGTGGTGCACCAGGTCGCGGACGATCAACAACACTTCCGGTAGCCCGAAAACGTTGTCTGAGTCGACTTACAGTGGATGGATGCACATTAAAGTGCCTGGCAATCATCACATCTGAAGCACCTTGGCTGACCATACCGATAACCTGATTCCTTTCGTCTTGTGTCAAGTGTGGCATTTTCTCAAAGTGATTGAGTTCCACAATTCCTTGTGCTTTTACAGGGCCTGGGTGCAGGTAATGCATGTGCACAACGTGTTTCATGAATGTGGTTGTGTTTACGAGAAATGTCAAAGGTTCAGTGTTAAGTATCAAAGTTCATGTGAGAGGAATGCTCCGGGACTCGAACTCGAAATGGGCCAGAATAACAGCCTTTTATCCCTACATCCTCTGTATCACAGGAAAAAATCTTCAATAGAACTTTTGTAAGTTTCAGGACAACAAATACCAATTGCGTTTTTAATGGCTTTCAGTATATATTGTTCGAATTTGACACAAGTCATTTTTACTGACCGAAGTTCATCATGACACACATGAAAAACTCGCATGTCAAGGCGATGGTAATGGCGGTATCTTGTATCGCCCCCGTGAGAGTGCACAAATGCTTGGCATCGTCGTCCCAGGGAACCAATCAGTTTACGAATGGGGACTGTTCACCCACTCTTCCTCTTTATATAAAAAGTAAATGCCTTGTTATTAGATGTTGATGTTAATGTTTTTTTCAGAAGCCCAGGGATACATGGACAGACTTTGGATACAGATGAAGATCTCCTGAAATTATTTCTTCCGCCTCTTCATCATTCTCTTCCGAAAGAGGTTACTTGTCATATCTTCCTACGAACCTCTGTTCTAATACGGCCATATTTCCGGGTTCTCGTAAAATCCCCTAGCGGCAAAAGATCGCAACACGAATTATCTCCCCTTCTTTCTATCCAATCAGAACACGTGTTACATCGACTTAGATTCAACTTGACTAACACAAGCAAATGTGGGGCCACAAATATCCCCCATCTGCCGGGGACTTGTGTTGATGTTACACACAAGACGTTTAATGGCTAGCTTGTCCGTTGTCAAAGAGGGCGATGGAGACGCCACTGATCCGCCATAACATAACTGAGTTCTGTCTAGAAGAAACGTTTGCGCATCGCGCAGGGGAAGAAGTTTAGTTTTCTCGAAGCATACGGAAATTACCGAGGCCTTGCGAATGATCACTTTTGAAACAACGTCGCTGATTGCACAACTAAATCTAATTGCCTCCCAATCACGAGTCTTGAACGCTCACACCATGAAAGGGCCGTATTAGAACAGAGGTTACGTAGGAAGATATGACAGGAGTAACCTCTGTGGGAAGAGAATGCCTCTTCATTTGGGGACTGAAAATATGACACTCACATGCAACTAAGCCCATGTTCTGACGTGTTGTTTAAGAAATATATAAAGGTCACCTTAACCAGAATTATCTGTTGTTCATTATGTTGCTGTCATAATCAAACTGATCCCGAAAATGGATTGTGGGACATCAGATGCATATATAGACTATTTTGCAGCTCTCCCTCTTGCCCTCAGGATTAACTTTCTCGGGTTAGGCCAAGAAAACTTCAAATGTTTCACATGATTTTGTTGGGCTTTTTTTGCAGGGCCTGTTGTCTGATGGTTATGACTTTGAAAATTAATTATTTTATAATATTGTTTTCAACGATTTTTGATAACTATGACCTTGAAAATTGTTTTGAAATATGCATAATGCATTAAATAATTGTATTCAGAAACATTTTAGATTTTCTTGAGCCTACATCAAGATATCCAGAGGTGTCAAGCCAAGACAGAGAGAGTGCATTTAGTTCTGTGGATGTTTCATGAACAGAGCCCAAAGTAAGTGAGTGAGTGAGTGAGTGAGTGAGTGAGTGAGTGAGTTTTACGCCGTTCTCAGCAATATTCCAGCTATATGGCGGCGGTCTGTAAATAATCACGTTTGGACCAGACAATCAAGTGATCAACAGCATGAGCATCGATCTGCGCAATTGGGAACCGATGACATGTGTCAGTCAAGTCAGTGAGCGTGACCACCCGATCCCGTTAGTCGCCTCTTTCGACAAGCATGGGTTAATGAAGATCAATATTCTAACCCGGACCTGCACGGGTAAGAGCCCAAAGTGAATTCAATTTGAACACTGTATCGCTTGCCATATCAGAGCATTGTTGGGTTTGTAGAAGCAGACGTTCATCCATCATTAGACCAACGAGTTCGGTGGATTCGTATTTATGTTGTCACAACGTTTTGGCCTGATCTTGTGATACCCCAGGATTCCATTCTCACGTTGGGCCAATGTTGGCTGAACATCGTTGGCCAGCGTCAGAATGCTATCTGGGGTATCACGACGTCAGGCCAAACGTTGTGACAACATAAATAGGAGTTCATAGAATAATGGTGTATGGACGAACTATCATTACGTTCCCACAACGTAAAATACAACGTTATCACAAGGTACTTAGAACGTTCCCATAACATTGTGACGAAGTGAAAATTGACTTATCACAACGTAACGTCATAACGTTGTGACAACACAAATGGGAGTCCACAGAACAACGTTGTGCGGACGTAACATCATAACGTTTCCACAACGAAAACAAAATGTTGTGACGAAATTGTCGACCCTTTTATTCAATTTCATTATATCTTCTTCTCCAAACACTTTCCCTAAATTGAAATGGTTTAAATTTGTCAAACAGATCTTAGATAATTGTGGATTCTCAGAAATGTATGATTACCCGTTCCTATGTTCATCAGAGTTTTTGGTTTCAAAAGTAGAAACAATACTCAAAGACCAATATTTACAACAATGGCGATGTGAACAAGCGTCTAGTTCGAAGGGAAAAAGACAATCTATGCTTTGAAAACTACCTCTTCCTTCCCAAATCTATACATAATCCAATTCTTAGATTTAAGTTATCAAATCACAATTTACCGATAGAAACAGGACGCTGGTACAACACTCCTAGAGGGAATAGACTCTGTAAACTTTGCGATTCTCCGTCTGTTGGCGACGAATTCCATTACCTTTTTTAATGTGAAGCTCAGAACTCCAACAGCGGATGATGTATATTCCAAATTATTTCTATGAATGGCCTAATCTGTTTAAACTTAAACGGCTAAAGAAATCAAAACATTTGAAAAACCTCGCTAAATTTTTAAATGCCTTGTCAAATGCATTGAAATTGTAAACGAATTGTGATAATAATGATTTATCTAACTATTCTATTATCCGCCATCTTGATTGTATATTTATGTTAAATTGTATATCATTATATTCTCATGTACGACCGTGGGTGCGGTTTTAGAGAATAAAATGTTCTGTTCTGTTCTGTTCTGACAACGTGAAATCTGCTTCCAAGGAACAAACCATACAGTTCCTTAGCTAATCAGCTTGTGTATTTACGCTGATTTAATTAATCAATAGTCACTGTTGGGGTAAAATGTTTTTTTTTGAGCTTTTATGTTGCCGTCATTTGATACAATTAGATTACAGAAATAATTGTAAACTTTTTACAACGTTTCCATTTATGATTTGTTTAATAGCATCCTGGTCCCAGTAGCACAGCTCCGCGTCTGTCTAAGGAGACGTGACTGGTTGATTGTCAACCTATCCTGGTGATATGGAACGATGTTCATGATGTCAATCCCCGGATGTTTACACCCAGATTCGACTCTTGACAGGCAACGGTCATATGACTTGAACATTGCTAAATACGTGTCAAACAACACAAATACTGCTATTGAATGATCTGAAGGAAGTCCATACACATTGTGATCACAAGACCAGGGATATATGACGATTTATTCAATTCTACAGGTACAAATGACTAAACAATATCATACAATGATGTATCGATGTAACAATAGTTTCCAATATATACAATGTAGCATCAGTGTATTCCGGATTTTGATGCAACAATTGCTTCCAACGTATACAATGTAGCAATGGTGTATCAATAGTTTCCAAGATGTATAATTTATGATTGGCAGAAAAACAGTTTCCACGATGTACAATGTAGCATTGACATAAATAAAGTTTCAAAGGTGTACAATGTAGCACTGACATAACAATAGTTTCCACGATGTACAATCTAGCAATGATGTAACACTAGGTTCCAAGATGTACAATGTACCATTGACATAACAATAGTTTCCAAGATGTGCAATGTCGCATCGATGTATCAACAGTTTTGAAATAACAATAGTTAGAAAATTGTATTTGGCCCAATCTTAAAAACGTTAGCAAAACCTTAGGTGACTTAAAAAAACATAATGTCCAACCATTTCTTGTTTTTTGTCATGTTCAGCCACCATCAGAAACGTATGCACATTGTCTTTTGCATGGTATGTGAGGAACTGGGGGTAACTGTTACATCGGCCTACAGCTATATTCATCACATTCCTAACAATGGTTACCTTAAACAAATGTTTGGTGAAAAAATACTTTTAATAAACAAATTTATAATTCAGTTTCACATCAAATACAATTTATCAAAAACAAGCAAAGGTGAATCGTTATTTGCGAGCAGGAATTTCAACATAATATCCATAATTGTTTTCGAATAAAACTACCACGACAATTGTCATTTGCTCAAGATACGGTTGCCAACGCTTTCTCCTTTCAGTTCTTGGTTAATACAGGCACACGGACGAAGGTTACTGTATTCACGACCCACCATCGTTATTGTTTGTTTCTGTGTTGTTGTCCAAAGTATACCGGAATATTATTTTGGAGCCTGACATTTTCTCTTCACATATGCGGTCACACATTTCACTGTGGGCAACCGTGAACCAGTTCTTCCAGTCACCGACCTCACCTGCAGTGAACGAAGAAAGTATGTGTGAAAGTGATTGGGCGAATTTCGATTTTGAACACCTATAGTGAATGCCATGTCACATTCATGTCAGAAGGACGGCCAATTCACATTCGTGCTAAACTCTTGTAATGACAAGAAACAATAACTACATGTGGGGCGAATCTAGTATTCGATTGTACGGAAACCGACTGCTTCAATGTTATATAATGGCGAATTATTAACACACAATATATTGCGACTGAGGCAGATGTTTTAATGACTTTTTCTGGCAGGTGTGGGTGGGTGAGTTGCCATTATAGTCACGCCGGCAATGGTTCAGCCGTATCGTGACTAAAATAATACAATTATTGATAATAGATAAAATTAAAAATATCTGGTAAAATGACCACATAATCAGAGATAGAGAATTAAAACTACCATGGAACTTTAAAATTAAACCTCTATTATATAACTAGATTATCACAGTTATAGAATTAAAACTAGCATGTAACTTGTAAAATTAGACAAATAGTACAGACAACACAATATATAAACGAGCTGGAGATCACCAACAACTGAAGGTCGATCACCATGCTAGAGACCATGGGAACTTACAGTACTTGTGCTACCTGCATGGACTCTAGCTGGATTTACAGCATCCTTTCAGATGTTGAGATTATGACAAAATTAGCCAAGAATCGTAAGAACACATATTCTACGAATATAAACGTGGTAGGATATACTTTGAATGTTTTGGGACCTACGTAACATTTGATTTTTATTTTGAACAATACAATATAAAAACAGGCAATAGATCACTAACAATTGAAGGTAGATCAGCATACTAGGTACCATGTGGACTTGCAGTACTTTTGTTACCTCCATGGACAATAGCTGAATTCGGACCATCCCTTCAGCCGCTGGCGATTGCAGTCAAATTTAGCCATAATTTATAATAAGACAAATACTACGTTAAGAAAATTTGGTAAGTTTAAATTTGCCTTGAATGTTTTGGGACCTACTACTCTCTCAGGAGGACAATTATATAATTTAATACTATAAGACAGTTAAAATTATTAAACAGATCTTCAACCGGTTTTACACTGAAATATTTATCCCTTGTGATAGAAAAATGTACACAGTCAAGCAGGACGTGTCCGACAGTGATTCTTTCATCACAAGGGATACAAAACACAGGATCCTCGCCTTTCAATAAATATTCATGAGAAACTCACCTTTTCTGTAGAATATGTTGTCACCCCATTCTGTATGAACTGCACCCTTTCTGTCCCTCATCTTTGAAAACGTGCACTTGTCAGCTATCTTCTGGTAGAAGACGTCTTCAAAGGACTTTCCTAGAAAGTTTGCTATCTTCTTCACCTCACGAAAGAGGTTCTGAAAGAAAACATTGGAAGATATTAGAATTGGTAGTTTGTCTTCAATACGCTGGGACTTGGCATCACTTCAGTCGCCCAATATCGATATAATCTAAGTTCTAATTGCTACATTCTACAAGTGTGGCTTTTCAAAGCTTACATGCAGCGCTGACGTATGATATGGTGGTGGTTACAAATACAAGAGGAGTGTGGTGTTGCCTTCATCCTCGGATGTAACTTGCTCAGACTCTTTATGGACATTTAGCCGTAATAGCAGTGGTATTGCCAACCAACTACATCATCTAAGGAACAGATGCTATACCGTTTGGTGTTATCACGGCTATGTTTCTGATGCCTGCACTATTTCACTCCAAACTTAACTAAATCGTTTTTGAGTCGATTTTACAAATGTGGGTAGATGGAAACGCAGTTGGGCTTACGACAGGGTGGATTAGTAATTAATATCATAAATGAGGGGGACGTTGATATTACAAGTAAGATGACATCTGATTATTAGGATTGCAGACGTGAACTGGGAAAACATTTTTCCAGACTAGATTTAAGATACATCAGCCATATGCTTGAATGCGATTCATGTGAAAATGATGTGGGCAGTAGCTCCTGGCCATGGCTATTACCGAAAACTACGCCACTATAACGCACAAGGAAACAATTCGAATATTTACCAAAGTAACAATTTTGTAAAGTTCATATTTACACGGCTTGTAAATGCTTGTAAATTTAGAAGGCTTTTACCAATGCTTCTTTCAGAGTCTCATGGATTTCCCAAGAATTCCCTGTTTTAATATCGCTCCGATGTCAATGTCATGAGAAGTATATAAACTATTTCTGTTTGAGTGACCACATAAAACATCGTTCATATCGTATTGTAGAAATACGTATTGCTTCTTCATGTGAGAAATTTATACATAAGAAGGAAAGGAACTGCAGGAACGTATTTTCATATAGTTAATTTATCCGTTATATTAATGCGATTGCCCCTGGCTCATGAAGAAATAACATGATAATATCCCTGAATTTGTTAATTGGGATAATTTTTAACCATAAGTGTTTTTGTCTTCGCAGCCCTCTGTGATCAACTAGGCACGAATTCTATAAATTACTATAATGAGTCCATTTATATAGCACCGACTCCACACAGTGTGTGTATGCTCACTGCGCTACAAATATACTATTATATCAATTTAAACTCTGCCAATAGGGATACAAACACAAGGCAGTAGATTATAGTCCAGGTATGATTGTAGGAAGATATAAGTTTTCAGATGGTACTTGAAAAGCGGGACCGTTTCGAGTTCTTTGAGTTCAGTTGGGAGTTTGTTCCACAGCTGTTATCCCCCCAAACCGTGGCTATGTTACATACATGTAGCTACGTTACATAGATTAAATACAGGTTGTTCGACAAACACTGATTGGCCGATCAGGGTTTATTGCACGTCATAAAAACTCAAGATTGCATGGGTGTAATAGGGCCATTGTGGACACCTGTCTCAAAGGGGCAGGTCGTTTTAGGTTTGTGCTCAGGGGCTGTGTTAGGCACTTGCTGTATCCGCGGCGTATCATTAAACAAACTATGACAGTCCAGTGATATTTGTGTTCTTTGCACTCATGAGCTTGTTACCCATTATGGGTTATGCTGTCCTAAAACGGGCGGATGTGAAATACGTCACTGCCACCCGGGATAAAGAAACTTATATGTGTTAAAAAATGTTAAAACCTGCATTGAGAACACGACCAATGCTTGTTAAACACATGTTATATTTGGGATTAAGTAAGTACAGTACAGTTCTATACTATTCTAAAAAAGAAACGCATAACCCAGAAATCTGTTTCGAAAATGTTGTATTTTCATGCATGTGTAACTCGTCTACAAATAGACTTTAGGAAATGAATTTTCGCATCAGTTTAGAAGAAGGAAATGTCTTTACAACCAAGTGGATAATTTTAGATAACGGAGACGCTGAGTGCCATGGTGACGACGTAGCACGGGTCCGACGTCGGATCTCCTGGATCTCAGTCCAATCTCTATCAACCTGTTCCGTACAGTTTGACCGGATATCCTCCGAAGTCCAGGCACCCTGGCTGCTGTGCTCTCAACGTGGCAGTACGATCACGCAAATGTAGTACCCGGATGTACCGATCTTGGGCTACAGTATTGACTCGAGGTCTGCCTGTACGGGCAGGGTCATTTGTTATACCTGATGGGTTGTAACGAGCTGTAAGCCGTGATATCGTGCTCAGACTAACATTCAGACGCCTGGCAACAGAAGATTGGTAATCTCCAGCGTGCATTCTTTCAATGGCGATGTTCCCTGTCGCAGTGTCAAGACGTGGCACAGTGATTTGACCTTGAAACTCCTTCAAAACGGATGCCGATTTCCGAAAGTAATCTGGATTATAACCAGACAGTGCGTGCTCTTTGCAGCACAATTTTAGCTGGAAGGAGAATTCTATTGCTTTGTAGTGGTGCCTTTTTAATCCTCGTAAGAAATCTAATCAAAATCAACATTTTCAGGTACAGTCGATTTTATACTTGTGCAATTGTGTAAAATCATGTTATCAACACTTTTAACATACTTTGACGATTGTTTGAACACAATAGGTAACTGACAGATATTTAAAGATACAAAACGCCTATGCGTTTCTTTTTTTGGATAGTATACTACTTTTATTGGGTTGGGTCCCTTCAATGCTTGTTTGATCGGCATTTTTGAAGTATGACTTTATGGATACCAATTTTGTGTTTCTCGAAACGTCGCTCAATGCAGTAAGGAAGAAGTTGTTATCTGTAAAGTCATATGTTTTGTTTTGTGTCCCCATACTGTGTGTTGCCGTGTAAGTGAGATCTTCTTGAGAATGTAAATTTTCTTTTGAAAATATATCATTGTGTAAATCATTCTTTTATCTATTTATTTATGTAAAATACATCAGGTTTCCCAAGTTGATTTGGATCAAGTTCTTGGTTTTTTCCACAACTTCAATTAAGATCTATGTTCCAAAAATATCGCAGATGTTTTGTACATCTCTTCAAGTTACTTAGAAATACTCAATATTTAGATGAAAACTGTCACCTTCATTCTATTAATTCAATATATACCCCTGAACCACCATTTTATTATTAATTTATGTTAACATGTGTGCAGAAAATATATATCATAGAGGCTGATATCTTTATATAGCTGCTATGAATAGAAAACATTCTTTTTATATAAATACAATGTAAATACCATACTTCGATGCAGAGGTCATATTCTGTCTAAAATGCATTATGACATTGATGTAACAGGCTTAAGCAAAATCCCACATAAATCTTATCTTTTACAAGGCTTTTGCAAACTTGTAAATCTAGATTTTCTCCAGTGACGGAATCTGTGACATCATACACTGATTATAAAATCGTGATTAGGTCTTACGTCCGTGATCTAATGCAAAAGAAATATCGGTTATACCCACTTGGAATGTCAGGCCAGATTTGAAGAAGTCATGTTACGTCTGTGTCGTATGGGTCATTCGCCATTGTAAGTTGTTCACTGGTCACGAGGGGGGCACAGATTTAGATTTAGAGTCATCTCCCTTCCATCGATTTGCATTCGCAAAACATCGGTAATTTCCGTACATCATACGTGATTCAATGTTATTCGAGATAAAGAATTACTACCACGAAGTACCAAATGAGTTGCCACTGACAGCGGGGTACATTGAAATGTTACTCGCTTGTAAGTGGGGTACATTGAAAATAATAGAAGAGCGCTCAGCCAATCAGAACGCGATATTTATGTGTGAGGTAAGATAAATACTCATGACTATTTATTGAATGGTGAGGATCCTCTGTTTTGTGTCCCCTGTGGTGAGTGAATCACGGTCAAGCATGTCCTGCTTGACTGTTTAGATGTTTCCATCACAAGGGATAAATGTTATATTGTCAAAATAATAAAGGACAATTTTAATAACGTTAATTCTCTTTTAACCTTGTATTGTTAAAAACAAATAGTCTTATTTCATACATTTTTATGAACATAGTGTTTTCTTTTACAACTTGATAGGATATAATTACTAACAGAGATCGATTGTGGCTGTACCCTCAACAGGGGTTGAAGTACCGTAAAGTTATTGTCTCCTGAGAGGGTACTTAAGTCTCACTTCATGCAAAGTAATTTTATATCTACAATCGTTTTAATAGTAGAATATATGTTCTTTTAATGATCTCTAAATTTCTAGATAATCGTCTGAAGCGATGGTGTAAACAACATGCTTGTTTTAAATTGTTACTGTTTTCTTGACGACAGGTTTTTATGGCATATATTTATTTTGGTTTAATGTATAGATTGTTCTCGTCACGGTATGGCTGAAATATGGCCGATGTGACGTTAGATATTAACTCATTCGATCCAGTGACGGATATCTCCACTAGGGTATCTTAGACTATCTTGAGCAATCGACATTTTGGAGCTTCTTATCAATTTGAATTCTCTTTAGCATAGGTGTCTGGCGAGATGCAGTTGCGTGACAGCCATCCTTGAGGAGCTGCGACAGGTCAATAAAAATATCCATGATCTATTATATTTACTGCATTAATGGCTGATGTTGATCTTCTTTGTAAGGACCAGCTGAACCAGGAAGTGATATGTATTTTGAATTGAGGAGCCAGAGACTCATCTGGATTCTTATAGTTCTTGTGACGACGTCATTTTGGTGTTTGTACATGTTGGATCAAGGAAATGAGGAGGCAATCTATCTTTCCATAAATCCGGCATAATAACTTTCTTATCAGAAATCAAATCGTGTACTAAAGACGACCACATTTTTTAAGTATTTGAAATCTGGATGGCATTTGAATACACTATGTTCACTTGTTAAGCCTTAATTAAAGGTTGTGAGGGAAGGCAGGTAATCAATCTGACAAGAGTTTGCCTTGATCACTGCACTGTGAATGCCTGTGGGACAATTATCGATGAGGACCATTCTCCATTTTTGAAGACATATAAATTAATTTCAGTTAAAAAAACAAAATTTTCAGCTCAAAATCTAGAGCAGTACTGGTGACACAAGAATTGTTCTGTCTTGCAGTTTCAACCCCAATGTCATGCGAAGGTCTTTCCAACGATCTATCTTGCATCATCATCTGTTTTTTATTGAGCGCAATACAACCATTCAGCAGGTTTCTGCCTCGTCCTAAACTCTACTACAACAACAACAACAACAACAACTACTACTGCTGCTGCTGCTGCTGCTGCTATTACATCCATAAACGGGGATTTTTGTTACAGGTGGAGTATCTAGATCTGTTTGGTTACTGCTTAAAGACATTTTGCTCCGAGTAGTCAGTTGAGAGTTGTTTTAGTTCATACGCCAAAACACGGAACAAGGCTCAATAACGAACCCGACCGAGACTCACAACATCAGCTGTACACTAATTAATAGTGACTATTCTTGACCGATAGGTAAGATCTGTACCAAACTTTGCACTGCATATTTCCTATAAACAAAGGATCAATTACCGAAATCTGAAAACAATCCATTGATGATTGTTAAGTTATTGGCTTCACACATTTGAGGTGGGACGTTTTTCCCAAGGTGAAGAGAAGTACTTTGTGCTAATTATCGACAAATTAAATATATCAAGATATAACTTTGCACATTTCCTCTCCTATCGATGGTGATTACAAAATTTGAAACAATCTATTCAAATGGGTTCAAGTTATTGATTGAACAACAATTCCCTTGGTGTTTTTAAAGTTCAAAATATTATAACACTTTCAAATATGAGAACCTGAAACCAAACTTTGCACTGTATCTCTCCTTTTGACAATGAGGCATCTGGACACTAACCTCTTTCATGTCCTCGTAACAGAGAAGAAGTATTGGATGTTCAGGGTGTTCGTCAATCTCCTTCTCCCAGTCCCGTGTATAGTCGAACACACAGCCGGAGTCAACTACAACACAGAAGCATATAGGGGCTTCCTCACTGATCAGGACGACACAAAACTCTACACATCGTCCACATTAAAGAATCCTGGGTTCGCAATAATCTTCTTTCAACTACATAATATCGCCACAAACAAAATCACCTGGAACACAGAACCGGAAAAATGGAGGTTTGCGTTATATTTGTGATTGCCAACACTGAACTGGAGGCAAACGCGTCCTTGTTCCAATATGTGAGTGTCCTGACTGATTAATTATTAACGAGTATTTTCTGAATTCATGTTGAAATCTAATTTGCTTGGATGGTAAACACAACTGAAATTATACCAATGTCCAACCGATTAATAGTTCCAAAACGTTGTCGACGACAGCGGTAATCGGGTTTTCACGATGTGGGATCTGACTGACTGTCATCGTGTCCAGCAGCGAGGCATACTGCTTCCACTTGTCCACCCAGCCAAAGACTCGTCACATTTCTAACATGACTGAAACAACCACACTCTCACTTCAATGCAAAATTAATATATATTGAACCAAGACAAACTCACCCTTTCCATCTAGATAGTTTGGAACGTAATTTGTAAATTGCCCATTGTACTCATACTCTACGAGCTTTTTGTGGTGATGATAGAAAGATACAGCAACGTCCTTTGGGTTACGGACAACCATGATGATTTTGATCTTCTTCTCAAAGAGCTCTGGATTTAGATGTCTCAACAACACATGGGTATTTAAAACTCGTGGCGACGGGAATTTGTCCATAAACTCTGGTGTCTTCCATTCCATCATCAGGTCTTCTTTTTCTTGTACGGCCACGTCAAGAGTTCCTTCCTGTAGCATGCGCAGTATCTCCCACACCCAATGACAACCTGAAACAGAGTTAACTCCCCTTATATCAAGGTCGTTGATACTTTTGACATTTATTAACTGATTCTTCTTCTTCTTTGAGTGGCATTTAAGGAGTTGGGAAGTAAATTATGGACAAACTTTATGGATAGCAACTTCTTTATTACGTGAGTGTGACGTTTCGATACAGATTCCTGTACCGTTGTCGATATAACTGAGTGTAACAAAGAAAACAACAGGATTAACATAATTGACTAGGTAGTAAATTATATTGATTCTTGTTCAATTGTTATTGTCAAAGGTGAAGAAGCTAGTGATATAGGAACTACAGCTACGCAACTATATATACTGAACATCATTGAAAACGCACCAGTCTAAAATTGTCCACATTTTCATCAAGACGGATTTCAGCATGACAATGATCAATGAATATAAATAACATGAAGTCGAAGGGCATGTCCAGTTGAATAAATGCTTTAGAAACAAATTCCTGTCCACAGTATGACTCTTTATTCCAAAATGCATCAACATGCAGCAACGCCATGAAAAAAGCGCGAATTTCATTCTGAAATCATACTGACTGTGACATTAAAAGCAGGTGTATGAGAACCGATTCGCATTGCTTCACTAACGATTGTGAAACGAGGACAGAGATGCCGAGGTTAACACCTCACGAAAGAGAACGTGCACTAGGCATGATTCAGGTTGGCACCAGCAGCAGGGATATTGCTCGACAGCTTGGACTTGGACACTCCACCATCGGTAGGCTTCATAGACGACATCAGTAGACAGGCAGCACCCATGACCTTCAATGACCTTGGCAACAACGTGTTACGACGCTCCATCAGGATCGCCATATTGACCTTGTCCAGACTGCAAGGACTGCTGCACTAGTTCAAGGTTGACGTGGGGGTCATCAGCGCTCACTCCATGCGACGCCGTCTACACGCTACAGGGCTCCATGCTCGACGTCCTTACGTTGGACCAATTCTGACTGACAGACACCGTAATGAGCGTATACAATGGGCTAGCAGGCATTTTCGGTAAAGGTTACAACAATGGCATGGTGTAGTAGTCACTGACGAGTCACGTCTTCATCTACGTAATGCTGACGGCCGCTTACGTGTTTGGCGTAGACGTGGTGAACGTTATGCTCATGAGTGTGTGGTTCAGATAGACCTTTGGGTGGTGGGAGTGTCATGGTCTGGGGTGGAATAAATTACAATCACAGGATTGCCTTCATGTCTGTCAAGGGAGAGTTAATGCCCTTTATTACAGTGAGCAGATTCTTCAGAATCACATCGTATCTGTCTTCAATCACCACCAAGATGTCCATACATTTCAAGAGGACAACGCACGGGCACACACAACAAGACTTTCCATGCAGTATCTGGCCCAGCAACTCACCCAGGTTATTCATTGGCCAGCACAGTCGCCAGATGTATCCCCCATAGAGCACTTGTGGGACGAAATTGGTCAAAGTCTTTCGCGGCAACAACAGATGCGAAACATCCGGGAACTTGAGGCTGCACTACTGCAGAAGTGGAATACCATCCTCAAGAACTCTATTCGGACGCTTATTGACTCAATGAGGAGACGTTGAACTGCATGTGTCAATGCAAATGGCGGTCACACGCGATATTGACTTTTCGATTTGACCCCACGTGTGTTTGATCCTTTCTGACTGTGGAACATTTCAATGAATGAGCATCTTTTCTGTTGTTGCATGTATTTGTCAGTCGTCCATCTGTTATTATCCACTCAAAAAATATCAATTCCTTACACGTGCTTTTAATAATCTGAATTTTTATAAGTCGTGCGTTTTCAATGATGTTCAGTATAATAACTGAGCTTAAGACATCTTAATTACGTCCATGTTTAACGCATCTGGCTAGGGTCTTGACAGAATCGTTCTTTTAAAGAGGTATTCTGTTCAACAGAATTATTGTCGAGCCAAAATATTGTTACAGTATTTATAGTATCCTAAATGAAACAGATATTTAAAATATTGTGTCGAACATAAACAGAACTCATAAAGATCGTATATGACAAAATGAGGGCTTGGGTTGTGGCGTTCTGTTGAAGGACCGGAATTTACAGTGTAGAACTGCGTTCCCTTCGTGTTCCAGAAAGCTGTGATCGTTGATTCGATTCCAGCATATAGTGCTGTAGTTCTGTTATCAATAGTCTGGGTTTGTGAGCACCATTCTCGTGTTCTTGGATATTCCTGATAACATTATGGCACTAAGAATAAAACAGCCCCATCCACTCACTCACCTGACTTGGGATACGAACACACCATAACGTCGTCATCCCGGAAGGGAAACTGACCGAGACCTTTGACGACATCTGCCGACAGGTCGGGGGCGAAGAGGAAACCATCAACTTCTAGCAACATCAAGGAATCCCCTGCTTCGTCAGTCACATGCTTCAAAGACATCCTGAACAGAGACAACATGACATCTAACAGCCTGTTACCTCGGATTAACCTTTAGTATTAATGAGTCCCAAAACATTCAAAGGAAATTTGAATTTACCCAATTTTTTAAATGTAGCATTTTTATCATTTCTTTTTTGGATAAATTTGCATACAATCACCAGCTGCTGAAGGGTTGATATAAATCCGTCTAGGGTCCATGCAGGTATCAAAAGTACAGTATGTCCCCATGGTCTGAAGTATGGTGATCAGCTCTCAGTTGCTGCTGATCTATATCCCCTTTGTATATTGTATTATTTAAATAGAAGTCAAATGTTACGTAAGTCCCCAAACATTCAAAGTATATTCTTACCACGTTTTTATTCGTAGAATGTGTGTTTTATTAATGCTTGGCTAATTTTGTCATAGTCTCAACATCTGAAAAGATGTTGTGTTGTTGTCTATAGAGATATACGTTTATGATACCGTCCTAATTTAAAATTAAGAGCTGTGATACTCTAATAGTTGTACTGTCGATGCCAGGTTTATACATTTCAATTTATTGATTTTAATATTGATATAAATTAAATTGTTCTCGTCACGATATGACTGAAATATTGCCGACCCGTGAAGATCCGGGGTAGAATAGGTCTTCAGCAACCCATGCTTGCCACAAAAGGCGACTTTGCTTGTCGTAAGAGGCGACTAACGGGATCGGGTGGTCAGGCTCGCTGACTTGGTTGACACATGTCATCGGTTCCCAATTGCGCAGTCGATGCTCATGCTGTTGATCACTGGATCGTCTGGTCCAGACTCGATTATTTACAGACCGCCGCCATACAGCTGGAATATTGCTGAGTGCGGCATAAAACTAAACTCACTCACTCACTGAAATATTACCGATGTTTTAGCTCATTCACTAGGATTCATGAGCATCGTTAGGTTACATTGCCGGACGCAACGTTGACAATGAACAACTGGCACGAAACCATCTAAGCTCTGAGACTTTCACAACTCCATCGTGTACATCTTGTGTCATCAATGATTGTCAATGATACTTTCAGCATGTTTCACCATTCGCGTTAAGCCCAGTGGAATCTGTTTTAGTAGATTATCAAGATTCGTTGACGTTATTGTTTTCATATTGACTACAGACACAGCGTTGAGGTCACTTTGTGTCTCAGCCTTAATTTGATCTCATACTTAGAGAATTCGGGGCATTAGAAGACCCAAATACCTGTTTGTAACATATGTCGAAGGAGTATCTGGGGCAGATGTTAAGGCATTATGACTTAGTTGGCGTCTCTGTACCCAAAATGGCTTTAAGTTTTCAAAATCCAAAACAAATTGTATTCACTTTTGTCGTAAATACAGACCACACAAGGATCCAGACCTATCTTTGGATGGTACTCCCGTCAAGGTAGTAGAAGAGGCCAAATTCCTGGGACTCATATTCGACCGCCAGCTAACATTCTTGCCACACATAAAATATTTGAAAACCAAGTGCTTGAAGGCTCTGGACTTACTAAAAGTCGTTTCAAATACAGAGTAGGGAGGGGATCAGATTACCCTCCTTCACTTGTACAGATCTTTGGTTCGCTCTAAACTAAACTACGGCTCCATTTTTCTGCTTTTAAATGACAATGTAATGAATATATGTTTTTGAAATAAAACTCATTCCGAGTATGTACTTTCAATGTTTATTAATGCAAACTTGTTCTCGTCACTATATGGCTGGAATAATGCCGATGTGACGCAAAACCCAACTCAACTCAACTAACGTATTGAAGAGCACAGACGTTAGACGACGGACCTTATTCACGTTATCCCTTTATATACGTGACCGCATTTAAAGCACAAAATCCCGTTCGTGACCTAGATACCGTTACATGTCTAGCAGGGTACGTCTGCTTTCATGTATGCAGGGAGCCACTGTGGAGAGCCAGTAACCCACTAATCTGGGTAAAGGTTGGTTATATTGACTGGCGGCAAGTCTCCGTCGCTGCACCCATTAAACACAGGTCGTGGCTGGAGGCGACTTGACCCGCCCTCAACTCACTAGTCTGCCTCATATTATCCCTCCTGCCCAGCCCTCCCTGCAATGCTTAAGCCCTAAATGAAGTAAGTCTAGATTTCCTCAGGTTTAGGGTCCCCACTCAGTAACCTGAGTAAAGGTCGGCTATATAGACTGGCGGATAGATACCGTCACAGTAACATTTATTCCTTGTCCTCAATGCTAAATCCCTCAATGAAGCAAGTCTAGATTTCCTCAGGTTTAGGATCTTCTTACTGGGGCTCCTTTTCAATTCAAATGGGATTATTTCTTACGATCAATATTATACATATATTCAGAGCCTAAGCGTTAGTCTATTATCTCTCCCGCTGTCCAGAGTATTCTCCCTTCTTGTATGAAATGAAATATTTTTGCAATATTTCTTTACTTCATTAAATATACATATTGTGGTTGTCACAATGGTGAGTTACATCTCCCATATTAACAACGGTTTAAATTTGTGATTTGTTTATATCACATTATATGTTTTATGACAATCAATTATCATTAATACAGACTGCACAATTTCCTGGCATATTACATACATAAACTCTGTATTTTCAGTTGTTTAATATATGGACAGGACCTTCTTCTACCTTTGAATGTATAATATCTATTATACCTTTTTCCAAAGACCCCTGTCGCGGTGCGGCTGTTGCCTCTGTGTATCGCGTAGGATTGTACAGCAACCTACCTGTAATTTGTATCTTCAATGATATGTTTGTATACAAACAAACACGCACGCACGCACACACATATATAACGGGAAAAAAGAGCACAAGAGAATATGTCATGTATAGATAAAATCTTTTAGATTTAATTACTAGTTTTAAATTTCTATCTGTGATATTCTAGTTGTTTTACTGTCCTTCGTTGACAGGTTTTTATAATTTACCTTTAAATATTATTAATCTATAACCTGATTTAGTCACGATATAGCTGAAATATTGTCAAAGTGACTTTCAATTTTAACACACTGACTCGCTCACAACAGAATAGTATTTGTTCGATATAGACAGGTGTTTCATGAAGGTTATTCTACAACATATCAGAATCCGTATGTTAAGAAGCATGCATTCAGTGCAGACTGAATCATCTGACAGCTGTGACCGTGTAGGATTTTTGTGCATATTAAATGTTCATCCATTCAGTTATTAAAACTAATCACAGTTTTTAATATTTAGTGCAATTTGCATTAATATGATGATTTACACAGAGCGTGACCACAGGTATTTTCAAGCAGTTGAGGTTTTGTGTGGAACTGGGGTTGGTCTGTTCAGCTTACTGAACTCGGTAAAGCTGGCTGAGGTGGTAATTTTATATTTTGTACTGAGTGAGTGAGCTGTGTTTTACTCCGTTTTTAGCAATATTCCAGCTATATCACGACGGGGGAACACCAGAAATGGACTCCACACATTGTACCCATGTGGGGAATCGAACCCGGGTCTTCGACATGACGAACGAAAGCATTAACCGCTAGGCTACCCCACCGCGCCATATTTTGTGTTGGGTCTTTAAGACCAAACTGACTGACTGACTGACTGAGTTTAGTTTTACGCCGCTTTTAGCAATAGTCCAGCAATATCACGGCGGGGGACACCAGAAATGGGTTTCACACATTATGCCCATGTGGGGAATCGAACCCGGGTCTTCGGCGTGACGAGCCAACGCTTTAACCACTAGGCTACCCCACCGTCCCTAAGACCAAACTATAAACACATGTACATGTAATATCAGATTCTATTAATGGCTGAGCAAGTTTGATGAGGATGACCAGCTCAAAAAGTAATGCGTAAAATTGTGAGCATCTCTTTTTATGCTGTCTGTATTTTTCTCTGTGAACCTGGCCACTTCGGTTGGATATGGGTTTTAACAGAGATTTGGAATATATTGTAACTGTTTGTATATTCCCTGAGTTAAGTTAAAGTAGATATCTAAATCTTTACAGTGCTGTCAATATAAATGAAACAACAGACAACTCATATCAGCATGGCCATCAGCACAGCCATGTGCAGGTCAGCAATGTAGAATTAACCTTAGAGTAAGGCAGGTTGGACACTGAAGTTGAACATTGTGGATGCGGTGCTGGATAGTGCAGGCTGACCATACATGTAACGTAATACGATACAGGACTGCTTGACAGTCAGTATATTCGTAGAATTGCCTGTGAATCGGGACTTGTCAAACAGCGTCCGGGCAGGTGGGCTGACGATGGCCTCAGTTGTGTAACAGACGCTGAATAAAGTTGACCCGTGCATAACAACCTGTAAACTGTATCTCCCTTTTCTTTAGTAATAATATAAAAGTTTCCAGTGTGGTAATGTTTGCCCCAATTTCAAAGTTACTTGCTCTTACACAGAATACTCACGTTCTTTTGCACAGAGGCATATATAGAGGCATATATATGGGCATATATCGCCCATTGTCTAATGTTTGTAATGTGGTCTTACACCTACTTCTGAGCAGGACAGCGACATGCAGGTGGTCGACAACGCTCCACCATACAGCGGTTTCTCCGGCAAGACGCCATCTCGTCGTTGCTGCCACCACATTCAGAAATGACCTGCTGAACGCCATTGACGTTAACGTTTCTACTCAGGCTGCGCCTAATCGTCTTCTTGAGACTTCCCTCTAATCTCGAAACTGATGCTTTCCATTCCCTGAACATACATGATGAATCGATGGCCTAATAATCAAAGACAGTATTTCCCGAAGATGTGTTAATATTTGTGTAAGTTATTAAATAACCAAATCCTTATTTCTGTTGACTTATGCATTCATAATAATCAACCTCAATGTTCTATGATGTTTAAATTTATGTCATACATAATATTTGTATGGTAAGAAATATACTTTTTTGGCCTATCGTTTCGAATAGACAACGAAATACAGAAGTGTCCTGCAAACGTTCTGCTCCGGTGGGCTTTGTATGTGTATGGTTAACTATTGAATACTGACACTAAAGGAACGGT